TATCTGAACCAATGGCTCGGTGGCACCCCTGAAAAGGACATCAAGGCTCTCTTTTCCACTTCCTCCATGTTTGATATTTTTTACCTGGATTACTGAGATGCATCAGGACAGTGCTGAGAACAGTGTGGGTGTTAAGTGCTTCACATGAAGGTAAAGACAGTAACTGTTTATTATCTGTTSCTTTTTGCCTCGGTCCTTCTCTCTGTTGTGGATTCAGTTGAAGGACATTATTCTGACACACAGCTGTGTTCCCACAACTCAAACTAATCGTTAACTCAGGTTTTAGTTAATTTTTATTTCCCTTCTGCTGATCTGTAAYTGAGACTAAACAAGCTGAAACAATAAATCAATAATAAAGACCAAGCATTCCAGAGTTTTGAACAAACTTGATCTCATGATGAGAATGGGCACAGTTACGGCTATTTTGGTCAATAGTTTTAAGAGATCTGATGCAAAGCTGTGAGACCTCACAAAATCTGTTTTTAGATAAGGTGTTGGGGACGACTCTCAGCTACTATTGTACTGAATCTTAGCTCAATCGCTGWAAAATTAACTGAGTTATAGTCATTTTGGGTTTGGCTAAGGCTGTGGTAGCCATCTTGAACTGGATTGACTCAAATCCAGCCAGTGGTTCATGAGATATTTTGCCAACAGACAGATAAATAAACACATAAAGCATCAGCGACTACAAAAATAAAAACCTTGTGTTGTTTTCTGTTCATCAAAAACTCACTAAAATAGTTTTTACATCAAATTCTGTGTACCTTCATAGAAGCGGATCTTGTCTCTCAGTATGACCATGCCTTTGGTGAGCAGCTGGTTCTGAAGGTACTCGGTGAAGAAAGAGCCCAGCTCGGTCTTCAGCAGCTGCCTGGAACAGACACACACACACACACACACACACAGAGACACACACACAGGTAAAAATAAAGCGTGAACACACACGCATCGCTGGTGCGTTAGAAGCAACAAACAGAACAGGAAGAGACTCCATGTGCAAACTGCTGTGTTTAAACAACAGCAGAATCAGGAAATTAGGACCGCTGAGTTCACCGAAACTGAGCTGAAGCAACAAGCAAACAATAGAATAAAACACCTGATAAAACGAGAACACAGATAAATATTACAGCTCAGAGTTACTGTACAAACACCGGGACTGTACAAGATGGACAGGGGCCGACAGCTGGTCGTTCTTTGGCCACCAAACGTTACGTGACTTTATTTACAACCTCAACAACGATTGAATCAAATGGTGCACACATACGTGCAGGTGTGCTAACTGTCCACAGTCACACTGACAGGAAACAAAACACACGGCGGTGACCCCTCCGTGACCTCAGCCTGTCATTTCCACTGGAACCGTCCTCGTGCAACAGGAATGTTACAGTTTCTCACTACTTTACGTCAAACATACCTTAAAGACAAATAAACTCAACATCTCAGAGCTAACCTGACTCCTTCGTTCAGAGTGTAAAGCTCGTTCTCTCCCAGCTCCTTCCTCTGGAACACTGAGATCACAGCGTTGTGGATGCTGCAAATAAACAAAACAAGAATTTAGACAAAAACGTGACCAGAAACTGAAAAATCCAGAAGCAAACTTGTCAAATAAAACAGATGCTGTATTGACTCTTTACATCCTGGATTTTGCCTTTCAGTCAGGTTTTTGCCATACTCAGCATAAAAATGCCTACGACTCAGTTTTACAAATGTTAAGCTGAAGTTTGCAGTGCCAGTGATTTTTTTCCCCCAAAAAAGTTACTCAAGTAAATGTAACTAGTTAGTACCCTCCTCTGAATGAGTTTAAAACTCCTGCAGAAAAGATGGAGCACTGACCTGTTCCAGGTGGCGTTGGCACCGGCCCTCCTCTGCTGAGTTCCTTTATCCCTGCTAGACTCCTCAGGCAGCGCCGCAGCTCCCTTCTCTCCCGCTCCTGCTCCTCCACCTCCCCCTCCCCCTCCACCTCCACCTCCACCTCCTGCTGCTGAGGTTTTCGAGAGGTCGGTCAGACTGGAGGACGAGCCGGTGCCCAAACGCAGTTTGTTCTGCAGGCTCCTTGAAATCCAGCAGGGAGAAAAGAAAAGAATAAAATCTAAAGACACCAGTGGAAACATCAGAGCCTCAGAAACTTGATTTGATTCATGCAAAAACAAGATAACAATGACAAATGGAGATACAAGGTTTTTGTTTGACAGCAACAATAGTTTTTGTGTTAATTAAATATCTACTAGTGAAAATTCTTGAATATTGGTATATTTACGATAATGATTTGAAACAATTATTCAATTAATTTTTTTATTATTTTCCCTCTAGCTTTTAAAGCCCCTCTAGCGTCCCCTCGCAGCTCCCACTTTAAAAAACAACGAGCCTCATGCAAGAACGTTCGTATTCTTATCCTACATTTCTCTAACTTTTGTTCGTACAAAGGGTTCGTACGAACATGTCACGTCAGATTCAACAAACTCTTCTATCTTCAGGAAAAGTGCGTAAATGAGCTGCGTAAATTCCACCTGTTCGTATCCAGCTGCTCGTGCACGCGAGAGGAGATTAGCATAATTACCACCCCAAAAACACCATATAAGGCTATGTTTCCTGCCTCAGATACAAGGAATTGTCCATTTATGAAAATGACAGCGAAAACTAAAAAGAAAAACTTTACGACTTCAGAGATTGAAGTCCGTCTGTCAGAGATCCAGAAAAGAAAATCTGTCATTTTTAGCAGGTCAGCTGTGGGATAAAAAGAGCTGCTAAAAGTATAAACAACTGTGTTAAATCATTTTCATTTATTCAGAAGCCACAGCTCTGCACACAAATAAGCATTTTAAAATGTTTTCAAAATAAGTCTGGCACTTTGGAGAAAACCCAGGACTCACTGGAGGGATYATGTATCCCCTCTGGCCTGGGAACGTCTCAGAGTCCCCCAGGACGAGCTGGAAAGTGTCGCTGGGGAGAGCGGGGTCTTTCTGCTGGCCCCGCACCCGATTGTGGATAAGCCGGAAGGACGGACAATTTATATTGTTAGTCTAAATTATTACATTTAAAATTACAACTCTAATTCAAGCAGAATAGCCTATTGTCAACATAATTATGGAGTGTGATTTATTTTCAACTCAAAATATCTTCAAACTAACGAAATATAAAGTTATTAGGGAGGAAAACCCATCTGGATAACAGCAGACTGACTGCTCGTAAAACATACGACAGGTCTGGACCACTCGTGAATTTTGTTCGTATCTGAAAAAAATCTTAGAATACGAAAACATTGGTGAATGCCACAAATTCTCCTAAATCACTCGTACGCACAACTTAAGAACAAATCGTACGTGCGTACCAACGGTTCTTGCATGAGGCCCATTGATTTAGCTCACTGTTCTTAAATTTTTGTTAATTTTTACTAAATTTAAATGTTAAATCACATATTTAAATATTAAATCCTAAATTTAAATATTTAAATCTAAATCTAAAGTTAAATCTTAAACGCTGAAGTTCACATTTAAAGTATTTCTAAATGGAACGCAGCCTTTTGCTGTTGGTGCTTGGCTCTTGTTAGGACATCATCATCCTGAGACAAACGCTACTGATAATGATGCTAACACTGCTAACACTGCTAACGCTTCCCTGAACATCAAACTTGCGACTGCGGCCAGTGTCCAAGCTGCACTTAAAACAGCCGAAACATGGGTACCATCTGTGTTGTTTTCATTGAACAAGTTTTAATTTAGAATTTTAAATGCCATCTTTAGCAGCGTAACCTTAGCAACCTTAGCATTTTTTCATAGGGTCGAGCACCAACGGCAAAGGCTGCGTTCCATTCCAAAATTCTTAAATGTAAACATTTAAACATTTGAGATTTAACTTTTTCATTTAGATTTACACATTTAGATTTAATATTTACAAATACTATTTAAGATTCAGATTGAGTAAAAATTAGCATAATGTAAGAACAGTGAGCTAAATGACAATAAAATGTTAGTGGAAACCTTGGAGTAGGATTTTACACTCACAAAGTGAGCTAAATAATGAAAATGTGTTGGTGACATTTTTTAACATTTTATTTTACACTTGGCGCCTCATATAAAAGTCAGTCAATAAAAGAAGTAAGATGTGTAACAGTCACAATAAAGACAGAAAAGAAAAGCCAGGAGAATATGAAACAGTGCAGGATGACAACAATTAGTGCATAGTAGGGGTGTAAGAAAATATCGATACACTGAAATATCGCAATATTTCATTTCCTGATAATGTATCGATCTTCTAAAGCCCTGTATCGATTTTTAATTAAGTTTTAAAATGTCAACCTTCTTGCAAAGCGTTCATTTTTATGTTGTAGTTCAGCCTCTGACCACTAGTTGGCAGCAGTGAGCCAGCCATTTGGCTCCTCTACCTCTTGAGCGCCAGAGAGTAAGGGTAGCATTAGCATTGTAAGTAAACATTAGCTTTTCTTTTTTTTTCAGTAAGAGGTTTTTATTTAATAGAATTTTTGGACAAAAAAAATCGCAATATATCGCGATATATTGCCTTGCTTACAGTAACGCAATATATCGGGATACTATCGTATCGTGACCCTTCTGTTATGGTATGTATCGTATCGCCAAATTCTTGCCAATACACAGCCCTAGCACATAGGATAGGAAATAAGATATTTACGTGGATTTTTTCTTGTGTATAAACTGTTTTATAGAAGGCTAAACCGTCTAAAAGCCTGGCAGCATGACTCAAACCAGATCATTGTTGCTGCTGTCAGACCAGTGAGGCTCACAGCAGTGACTCAACTTTRACTTGATAAACAAAGAAACATTATTTCCGACTTTCAGACCAGTCATCCTGCACACACCAACGAGTCTTACTCCAGTAAATAAAAAGGTATCACATATCTCCACTCCACGTTCGTGTGAGTCACACTCATCTCCACGCAAGGAGCACCTCCTCCTCACTGTTTTTGTTTCAGTCCTCCCTATTTTTTTAAAACCACCCGACTCTACTCCTCTCTGCTCCCTCAGTGCCAGCTGGCCACTGTGAGGCCGCGGGTGTTTTTGTGCCAGGGAAACAAGAAGGAACSCTTTGAGGTTCCCGGGCTGATACGAGGGGACGGGAAGAGTTTAAAAAAGGTATTGTGCATTTCACTTCTTCTTCCCCTCAGTGTCTCTGCAGGACGTCCAGGAGACAGAAGCCGTGTTCAAGTTGTCATATCTTGTTTATCAGAATCACTGATCCCTGTTTAGTGTTGATGATGAGACAAGAAACACACATCAAATATAAAATAAAAGTAATTAAGAAATCAACTGAAACTGGGCCACATTTTTGCTCCAGAATGCCTTGATAGTCTTGAGATTTTGATGCGGCAAAGCAACCTCAGAACATAATTGTGCTGCCAAACATCTCCACTTTTGTCTCATCCATTCAACTGGAAGCTCATCCACAAGCTTTGTGTTTTATTCTATATTTTGGCAAATTGTTTTTTATGACTTTTTTTTGCCATTTTAATACCATCTTCTCAGGTTTTCCCTTGAACTTCAGAATAGTAGCCGTAGTCACATGAACATCGAACTGCTTGGAGATGTTCTTACAGCTTTTATTCTCTCAGACAAATGAGCACAAACACAAACGGGCAAAAACATTATCGCCCTCCTTCGCCTTTCGGCATTGGGGAATAAATACAGAGAAGATGAAGACAGGTGGTGTGTTGTTGATCCATTTATCAACTTAGATCTTAAACCAGCTCCTCATAAGTAGGTCAGTGTGAGAAACAAGAGCCCCGGTCTTGCGCTCTCATGCACACAAACACACACACACAAACAAAATGAGTTTCCAAACTCTCTCAGAGAAGAAGCTCAGTCAGACTCACACAGTCAGACTCTCACTTCAGTTAAATTTTCTCATGAAGCCCGAATGAAGCAGAGAACAAAACTGCATAAATAAACACAAAGTTTCCATCTTTGTCTCAACAAAAAGTCTCTTTTTCAACATTTATATAAAGTCGAGGGGAATCTGATGTAACCAGGAAGTGAAAGCTTTAGGTTCTTGGCCCCCTCTTAACAGGAAGCCTGCAGTCTAATGACTAAACAAAGGAGGACGAGTGAAAGCATGAATGATGTCATGCAGGAAAGCATGTTCATCAATGTGTGTGTGTTTCAGTTTGATCCATCATTGTGTGTCTTAAAAGACAGAAAACAAAAGCGAGAAGAAAAGAACGAGTACTAAAGCTGAAGTGACACACTGCAGTGTCCTGTTGGCTGAACAGTGTGTGCGTGTGTGTTTGTGTGTGTTACCT